CACGGCTGGCATCCACTATCTCCTCGACGCGGGATGGGGGATACCTGAACCAGCACTATGGTGCCAAGAGGCAGATCACGATGGACACCAGGCTGGTTGGAGATTCGATTGCCCAGAGTTTCAAGCAAGCGATCAAGCAGTAGAATTGCTCGATGCTTTCACACGGTCGATTCAGCTGAAACAGTGGAAGCAACCAGCACCATCTACCTTTTGTGGAGGAGGAATGGAAGCAGGAGTGGATAATTGCAGTCTGAGGAAGCAGCTATATCAGCTGGAGCAGATTCCCAAGCTTGGACGCAGGTTGGCTGATCTACTGCCAACTGTATCAGTTGGTGGGGCATGGACAGCGTCTCGCAAGAATGAAGCAGTATATTCAGTTCCATCGCAATGTGCAAGGTGCGGTGGAGGTCCAGAGACGCACAAGCATCGTTTCTGGACTTGCAGGTGCAATCGCGGAGTAGCAGCCTTTGATATGTCACAGGATGTATGCCACAAAGCGTTAGCTCAAGGTGACAGTATGGAGTGCTACTGGTATCGAGGGTTGATCCCCTCTCATCTCACGGCTGTGGATCCTCCTGCGAGCGAGGGGAGCTGGACAGTCAGTCACAACGACAACCTCGACCAGCATTTCTTTGGCGACGGCACAGGGTCCACGCCAATCCTAGTCCATGGTGATGCTTCAGGTAGCTTGGACACACATGATCCTCGACTTCGTCGGATTGGGTTAGCAGTGTCAGCCGTTTGAGAAGAACCAGGATTATATCATCGTGTTGTGTTTGGCCCGCTACAATGAGTTCGGCAGACCGTTCCTCGGGGCGAACTGCTAGCTCTCCTCCTGGGAGTTCCTAGGTCATCAAGTTGCATGATGTTCATCACGGACAACGAGGTCTGCAGAGGATGGTGGGCGAGGTTGCCTCTCGCCCCACAAGGGACCAACTCAGACCTGTGGAGGGAGATCGGCACCACTCTCCAGAGACAGAGCAGGCACCATTCCCAGATTGGTGTGCTCAAGGTGCCGTCCCACGTCACAGGAGAGGAGGTGGTCAGTCGAGGCCTGCCAGGGCGCCTTATCGCAGGAAACGCTGTTGTGGATCATCTTGCAGGGGAGGCAGCAAAAAGGACTCGTCTTCCCCAGGCTCAGCGTGCTCGGGTGCTTCAAGTCGAGCACGAGGTCATGCTCATCAGGCAGAGATTGTTGAGAGCTACGCTTGAGGCCGCCGCCCACGATGAGAAAAAAAAAGGCCCCTCGTGCTGCGCGTGCTCCCACCAGGGCCCATCCTCCTACTCCTGCCACGGTGGCCCTTTTTTGTTCTGCTCACCGTCCCTCGGATTGCGGGAAAAAGTGCCTGGTTTGCCGAGGGTCCACGACTGTGGCAGCGAACAAAGAGATTTTGGAGTCACCCTGTTTTCCTTTGGAGTCCCAGTCGTCGGAGATTGTATGGGTGCCTCGGGAGGAAAGTTTACATCACGCAGGAGGGTGGGCCCACCAGTCTCACAAAATGATATATCATGAATTGTTGTCTTTGTGGTATTGTGCGGCGTGCGGGGCCTACCATCAGCAGCAGCTCCGAAGTCCGGCTGATGAGTGCAAGGCCCACCCCAAAACCCCAATCACCAAGAATCGGCGAGAATATCTCGACCGAATTTCCAGAGGTCTCATGCCCAAAGTTCTCAGCAAGGCTGAGAAGGCGGCTAGATCCTCCTAGTTGATATTGAACTCGCTTCGCGATCGGTCTTATCTTATCATATCTTACCTCCTCCTCCTCCTCCTCCTCCTCCTCCTCCTCCTCCTCCTCCTGGCACCTGGCACCAGATGGCATCTGTGTCTGCCTGACGCTGCCATGCCCCCCACCTGGCGGCGCCCTCTGACGCGCCAGGGGGGGCGACGGTGCAAACTGAACAGACCCTCGCGCTGGCGGGCGGAGCCGGCGAGGGGCGCGGGAGGGGGCGACACAGGGCCCGAAAGAGGAGTACGACAGCGGGCCGAACGCACGGAGCGACGCAGGACGAAAGGAGGCTCCTCCTCCTCCTGCTCCTCCTCCTTCTCCTTCTCCTCCTCCTCCTCCTCCTCCTCCTCCGCCTCCTCCTCCGCCTCCCCCGTAGCCATTTTGGCTCAAGCTATTTTGGCTCAAGTTGCCATCGCAGCTGGGCAGGAGCAGCCCTGCCCCCTTTTTCGCCTACAGCCACACGCCGCTTTTGCCGCCATGTCGTCCAGGACGCCCTGGGTTTTCAAAGAAGGAGTCGGAACTCCAGTTGTCACTCATACTAAGTTGCTTTGCCCGCGTGGCAGACCAGACTGTTGGATTTGGCCAAACAGAATTACTTCTCAACCTTTCTGTAAGTGCGGTCTCCCTTGGCATGGGAAGAGTTCCCAGCCACTTCCGCCTCCTCCGCCACCACCAGCAGCAGTGAAGACTGGGCTCAAAGAAAATCCCACTGCTGAGGTAGCATCTGGCAGTGAGAAGTTTCAGTCTAAAGATAAGCCCACTGTTCAGGTAGAAGCCGACAGTGAGAAGGCGCATTCATCACCGCCGCCTCTTGTGGCAGTGAAGTCTGGTTCCAGAGTCAAGGCCACTGGTCAGGTAGAACCCGACAGTAGGCAGGGCCAGGATTTCAAAGTCAGGCATCAGTTCAAGTTATTGATCTCGGATGTCTTCCAGCAGTACGAACCTCAAATGCTGGATCAGTTGGACATGTTCTTGGACAAGTACAGGGGTAAAGAAAAGTATCTCTATTTGGCAGTATGCGATAAATTCAACGTCGAGCCTGAGGTGAAGGTTCAGATCTCTAAGAAGGAAGATAGGACTCCAGATGTTTTGGACAGTGGTAGCGATTCCGACTCACCTTCTGTCAGTGCAAAACATGTCGACCGTCCTCGTTCGACTTCTCCAGAGCACGCTAGCAAGCGTGCAAAGGTTGGGCACAGTGGTGGAGCCCCCTTCCAATGATTCAGCCCCTTCCAATTCAAGACTTCTGGAACTCAAATGTGGTCTCCAGGCTATCAAGATCAAGCACCTCCAGCAGCAGCTGGAGACACTCCAGGATGAGCTCAGTCGTGTAAAGAATCCAAACACAGCTTCAGGCAGTGCGCCTGTTCCTCGGAGGAGAAGATCCAACTCAGACTCCTCTTCTTCAAAGTACACGGAAAATTAGTTGTCATTGGTAGCACCCAAGTCGTTCAGTTCAGCGGCAGAAGATATTTTACATCGTGGGCAAAATCGGCTAGGTTGTGTATGGCTTTGGTTGAGCGAAGTATCTATGGCTACAGGTTCTTGGTAGAAACCTCAACCTTTTGTGTTGGTCAGTTCTCGCGTTTGGGAAGGACAGTCGTCAGCTACCCAACGTTCTTTAACCTTCACGCGTTCCGTATCCTTTTGGCCAGAATGGCAGTACTGTGAAGAAGGTATGTTTCCCTTCTTCACTTTTCTTTGCAGGCCTAGTTCGGGCAGCTGCATTTCAGCCCAGTTTATCCCATTCTCTCCCACCAGACAGTGCATGGAATTGGCAGCCAGGGCTCAGTTGCAAAACTCTGCCCTCTCCTGGCGGGTCGTGCCATGGCAATGCCATGCCTGAAAGCCCGAACCTCCACGTTGGCGTCCAGGGGGATGTTCTTGTCTGAGAGGGGAAAGTTTGGGTGGGCATTCTTACTCTTATCAGGGCTCCAGGAAAGTCTGGCGAAGTAATCCCCTAGTCGTTCTTTTCTTCATCCCTTATTTGGGATGCTCAGGTCTCGCTTTGCTAGGTGGTCAGCCCATTAGAATGTGGGAAGTGAGTTACCCCAGTGCATAGCAGTTGATCTCCTCCCCCTCCCTTTCTCCTAATTGCATCTCCCCTCCCTCCTTCCTCCCTCCAGACAGTTCAAGGAATTGGCAGCCAGGTCGCAGGCGAAAGCATGTGGCCTTCCCTGGCGGGTCTTGCCATGGTCTCACCATGCCCGAAAGTCCGAACCTGGAAGTTGGCGTTCAGGGATTGTTCGAGTCTGGGGAGGATTTGGTGGGTGGGTTGGGAATCTCCTCCCTGTTCTGGGGACGGTCTGCGTCGATTTCGCTTGGCCAGGGCACGGCTCACTAGAAGGTGGGCAGCGTTTAACCTGGGCTTGCGTGTTTCAGGACGTTTTCCCTCTCCTCCTCTCCTCCTCCTGGGGTAGAGTTCGTTGGAGCCGAATCGGAACTGGCAGCGCCCCAGGCATAGCCTGGGGGTCAGCTGCTGTCCGAGGAACGCGCCTGTGCTGTAGTTCATCCCCGAAGCGAATGTCAAAAAATGTCCTCCTCCGCCTCCTCCTCCGCCTCCTCCTCCTCGTCCCTCCTCTTCCTCCCTCCACCTCCTGCTCATCCTCCTCCGCCTCCTCCTCCTCCTCCTCCTCCTCCCCCTCCTCCTCCTCCTCCTCCGCCTCCTCCTCCTCCTCCTCATCCCTCCTCCTCCTCCCTCCCCCTCCTGCTCTGGCTGCAGCTGCCCAGGATGGGTGGACTCCCTGCGCGCCGAGGGCTGCCATTTCATCGTTCCTGCGGCTCCCCCCCCACCGGGGGGGAGAGAGAGAAAGACAGAACGATAGAGAGAGAGGGGGAACGAGGGAGAGAGGCAGGGAACAAGGGAAAGAGAGAGAGAGAGAGGGAGCGTGAGAGAGAGAGAGAGAGCGAGGACGAGGCACGATAACGAGCAGAGAACACAAGAAGCTGGAAGAGAGGACGAGGCCGTGGGACAGGCCGAAGATGAGCATGAGGAATGGATCCGTGCCTTGCTATCCTCTGGGCTCCGGCATTGCTGAACCCCCCCCCTGGGGAGCGAGGGAGAGAGAGAGAGAGAGAGAGGGAGAGAGAGGGAGAGAGAGAGGGGGAGAGAGAGAGAGAGGGAACGAGAGAGAAAGAGAAAGAAAGAGAGAGAGAGAGAGAGAGAGAACAGGACCTGGATGGAGGCCCGAGAAACAGAGAGAGAGACAGAGTTGAGAGAGAGAGAGAGAGAGACGGAGGGAGCCAGAGAGAGCGGGCGGCGGGGCGGGGGGCCACGAAGACGGCGGCAAGGAGCACGAACGCGGGGCTGGAATGGTAGATTCCTGGGCGCGGGCGCGCGCGCCGAGGGGGGAGCGAGACCGAGTGGGGGCCTGCTAGTCGCCGTCGTTGTCCGTCGTCGCCCTCGTCCTCGTCGCCCTCGTCGGCGTCGCCGCCGACCTGCCGCCGGGGGCCGAGGGGCCACGACCCTCGCCGCGTGGCGACAGCAACCATATTCGATGTCGAGCCATGCCCACCGACGCCTTGCTGACTGCGTTTCGAGCACTGCGGAGCAGGAGTGATGAAGTCATGGGCTGCACACGCCACCATTACGTTGTGTTGTGTTGCCTGGTTCTGCCCTTGCCCATTCTGATACGGTCTGTTACGTCCTGTTATGGGCGGACCTGCGGGTGACGCCGTGGTACCTATCACGTTTGATGCGCCAACAAGTACGTTCTGATATGCGATAATCTCGTTCTCACGATGACGCTGTACTATTTTAGACTACGTAGCCCTTCTATCATGGACCTCCAATATACCCTGTCACGTCACGGCCTTGCGTCAGCGCGCATGTTGCGTTCGATGGAGCGCCGTTAATAGGTCCTTCCTGCATTTTCGGGACATACATGGTCGTATATCCACAAATGCGCTATGCAACTATGATGCACCATGTTCTGGTATGGTATGTGTTGACGGGTCGGCTTGACGTCTGGACGCCTGTCACGCTTGACTCATCACATGTCCTAACCAGATACAAGATGAGATTCGACGCGATCTTATGTGATGGTGCCCTCGAATTGCTCTTACTGGACGATTTCACATTACGTTAATTCCTGCCACATGTTTCCGCTAAAGGCTGTTATATCATGTGCAACTGACGTCACCTATATCTACATGTTGGCCGTAGTGTTGTGATGGGATATCTTCTCTGCTGCTGAATCTGGATATATGACACCATGCTCTGAATAGATGCGATACTGTAAAGTATCCCTATGACTGTCGTGTTCAAATCCATAATGTCCAGCTGTGCGCTGTCATGTTCTCGTGTTGATATGTTCAGCTGTGCTCTGTCATGTTCAACTCCATGATGTTCAGCTGGGGCTTTGGCGGCAGCGGCATGTGGCGGCCCAAAGAAATGATTTCCGTGGGGCCAACGGTGGTCCTGGGGATCTGGCGGCCGAGGTATGTGGTGGCCCACGAAGGAATCCCCGCGGGACCACCGGTGGACCTAAAGATCTGGCAGCCACGGTATGCAGGGTGGGCAGGTCGGGATGTCTGATCACTCAATCTACCAGCCCCTACCTTCTCAAAATCTGACAACCCCAACCTGTCGGTGGAGGAGGAAGGAAACCGTTCGGCAACGCTCTCAACCTCTGAGGAGGCCTTCGGGGGCCGTCCAAAAACAGCCCGGGATTCCCAAGGATCCAACATATGGTTTTGATATGTACGGGATCTGCGGCAATACCGTCCCTCTCCTCAAGGCGGGCGTTTAATCCTGGGCCGTTTCGTAAAAGTTCCGTGAAACGCTTGCGTTCTGATCTCAGTAGGTCGGACGCCTGTTGGGAAAGCGAGGGCCTCGTGGGCCTGCATGGCAATTCAAGCAGCACCATGTGTTTTGGAATGTGCGTCAGTGGTCGGATGACAGCTCAGTCGAGAAGTTGAACACACTGCACTGGGTTTGAGACTGGATCGCCATCCTTGTGGCTGGCAGAATGTTTGCGAGAAATTCGCGCAACGCCTAAGCGCGAACAGAATACGGAAAGGGACCCGCGCTCCATCTGCGTGGGCACTTATATCTTCAAACTGACGATCCAGACATGTAAAAAAGCTCCGAGCGCGAACTCGCCACATGCAAGGAAACCTACGTTCAATGAAAACAACGTGCCATCCGTCACTGTGGAGGTGCTGGCTCGCGGACGCCCGCGTCGTAGAGCGTGGCGGAATATCAGAGGCGAAGACCTTGCGTCTCTGCAAATTGCCACAGACAGTTCGTACAACGCTCATGCAAGAGCCCGGTTGTTGGAAAAGAACAAGCTCCTTCCTTATGCGTAGCTGCCGGAAAAGCGCAAATCGACTCCGCAACGACCACACACACACGCACACACAAGGCACATTTTGACATACAACCGCCTTCCGTCCGTGTAGCACCTGGAAGCTTCCAAGGCGGACGTGCGCGGGACTCGGGCGCAGGCCAGGCTTCGAAAGCCGCCCTCCAGCAAGGAATGCGGCTGGATTTTGAGTACCATGTAGGACCTCCTCTAGAACAGGGCACATACCGTAGATGGAATACCCTTTCTCCGACCTTGTACTGCGCCGAACACAACTGCCACGATGTCTACGGACATATCCACACCGACTGTGTCTGCACACGCAACGGCACCCAATGCGTCTATAAACGTTAGTGGCTAGGAAGTGAGAACAGTAAGTACTTGGCATCGGCCCCATATATTTGTCTCATGGAAGCACGCGAGTGCGCGGCGCGCTTTAGCGAGAGCCGCGTTTCGAAAACCAGCCACGCTCCATCCACGTGGCTGCTGAACAGTTTGAACCACATGCGCGCTCTCGGGCAAGAGCCCGATGTCGAAGAGCGACCGCCTCCCACCAATGTTAAATGTTCAAACATTCGGGAAGCCGGTAAATCTGGGATACTCCAGTCCAGGGTAACTCTGGATTGGGCCCCTGGCGCACGCACCAGGAGTTACCCCTGACCTACTCCATCCCCAGCCCCGATGATTCGGTAGTGTTTGAGGCCCGAGCTATCTGGGATAACTCCAGTCTGGGGGAAACTTGGTTTGGGCTCCCGATGCACCAATCCGGAGCTACCCCTGACCACCATCAGCCCTGATGATTCGGCGCTCTGAGAAGACGAATGTACGGGGCGGTCAGGCTGCCAAGTGTTTGGGGATAACGGCATGCGTTGCATCATTGTAACTACGAGGTCTGCCAAGCTTCTGGACCGTACCTCACGCCCGCGCCTAGCGAAACGCGGGGGCTGCCCTACTGGCACGGGGAAGAGGAGGAGGAGGAGGAGGACGGGGAAAAATGTTGCCATCTCTTGAGGGCGTATCCTTTACTTCCCTGGTGTCCGCCGGCCTTCCACCTGTGGAGCTGCCCTCGTTTTGCTTCGGCGGGCTTCCGCCGGCCTGCAGCCGCCTTCCGCCTGGAAAGAGATGCCAACTCCCTCGGTCCTCGAAGGCAAGGCCATTTCTGGAACGCCCCTTCTGGGAAGAGAGGGAAGAGCCTTCTCCAGCATTGTAGAGCCGTTGCGGCTCAGGGGTCCGCCCGAGGGGCGCTGCTACGACCCAGGTCGCTTACTGAACACGATGACGAAGAGGATCGCGCCGGCGCGCGCAGAGGACCACTCGCAGGCGAGCACCCCGCCTCGCCGAAGAGCGGACCCGAGCTGCGACATGGCGGCGGCAGGCGGGCGGGCAAGAAGAAGGAGGAGGAGGAGGAGGAGGAGGAGGAGAGAGGACGTAATTGGTTAGAGGTGCGGGCGCAGCGGGGGGGAACCGCCGAATCAGCAGCGAGAGCAAGACCTTGGGCATCCCCGTGTCCCTGCGGAAAGGATAATGCAATGAACGCTGGCGCTGAGCACCTCTGTTGGTGCCAAAGCACGAAGAAGAGGCGGAGACGACGAGAAGCCGAGTTGGGGATCGACCACGGAATGGATTCACCCCACAATCTGACGTCACTGTTCCCGACCGCCCGCCCCAGGACGGTCTGAGCCACAATGGTCACGGACATGGCGCGCGCGTGACCTGGCGCTGAGGATGCTGGCCCGGAATCGGGATGAACACGACCCTCGAAAAGCACAAGACCCACCACCATCCAACGGACTCCGATTGTGAACTCCACAACGAGTTGTTCCGCCCCAGAACTACAATGTCCGTCGATCTGCAAGACCTGCACCACATGTTCGTAGACCTACGAACATTACGCGTACCCGCTCTGCAGATTCGACCCACATTTTCGAAGCCTGGGGTGAATCCATCCTGTACGGTGGGGGCATTGGTTCAGGAACCCTTACATAAGGAATCCAGGGTCTGGAGGCTGGTGGAACTCCAATTGAGGCTTGGCCATGGCTATCGCCGCAGGCCTCATCAGATAAGGAAACCTTAAGGGCCTGAAGCCTTCTGGATCCGGTCCTTAACCAGCGCGATCACCGCAGTCGATCCCCCGCTCGAAGAAGAGGCAACCAGGCGGTGGGCGTGGCTCGACAGCCGCCGGGCAGGTCTCCGTCGAAGAGCGACATCTTCTCCATCAGGACCTGGCTGATGACGGTCTTGGCAGCCTGCGGGCCAGAGGGCCCGCGCCACCGGGGGGACAAGGGGGCCCGGGCACTCCGCCATCTGCCGCCTCGGAGAACAGCTGGAGCGGCCGGCTGTGCTCTCGTGGAGCCAGCTTCGGGCCTTCGGACTCTGGCCACGCTTCGGAGTGATCGTGAGCAGTTTTTGTTCGAACGCATTGGGCCAAGGGTCGTCACATACTCGGCTACACGCAAGAGCGATCCCAAGCAAGAGTGGCCCTTGGTCCGCGGTTTGCTGCACGCTGCGTGCGATGTGACAGCAGCGGCCTTTGTGCCTGGATTTGCCCCTCCCCGCCCTGCTCGCCCGCCCCGGCCGACAGCCGCGCACCAAGGCAACTGCGCGTGGCGACGGGCCACTCCTGCATGGTTCGAGCCAGAAGCCCTGATGCGCATCTCGTTGGAGGGCCGGTCCTTACTTTGGGCGCCCGAGTTATCCGGGGTAACTCGGGTCCGGGGTAACTCGGGTTTGGATTCCCGAAAAAGGAACCCGAGTTAGCCCTGACCCGAGTTACCCCTGATGATGTGGGGCTCTGGACGCCCGAATTATCCGGGGTAACTCGGGTCCGGGGTAACTCGGGCTCGGATTCCCGAAAAAGGAACCCGAGTTAGCCCTGACCCGAGTAACCCCTGATGATGCGGGGCTCTGATTACTGCCGCTGGCGAGGCCACCCGCGTTCTACTCCCGCAGTCTTCACCCGGCCTTCCGCTGGGGATGACACATCAGCTTGTCGACCCCAAGAAGGCGAGGCCTCGTCTGGAGCGCGCCCGCGAGTAGAAGAAGGCCTCGCGCCCCAGGATCGAATTCCAGCCTCCTGGCCACATGTGGACCTCTGAGGGCCTCGGGGGACGAGGAGGCGCGCGGACATCCACTTAATGTGTGTGATCACGCGCGTGGTTACCAGATTCTCTGCGCACAGGCGGGCAGGGCACAGACGTGCACGGCGACTCCGCGGTCGACAATCGACCGACCCGACGGCGCCTCCGAGGCCGACCGAGAGCGACGCACCGAACGCAGTCTAGAAGGACGCATCGGCGCAGCCATCGACCGAACCGAACCGAACCGACCGGATGCCACCTGGGCCGAATCACTTCGCTCATCGCGCCCCGCGATGCGCTTCGCGCGAATCTCTTCGCGCCCTCGCGTCGCCCCCCTCTGGGGAAGGCCAGTGCGGCGGCCCCAGCCGCGGCGCCCGACGCACGATGGTCTGGGCGCCCCCGCCGTCGACCAGCCAGGAAGGAGTGCCAGGTGAGCCATACAAAGGGGCCCATGGACACACACAAACACACACACACACACACATAGACTCACATCCCAGGATCCCCCATCTGTTCCGATTGTTTCTGGGTGTTCGCCTTGCCCCCCACTTCCCATAGGTTAATACATGTTCCTGGGGGGCGACGATTACTTGTGTCGGTGTGGTTTTCCCTCCTGACCGTAGGCAGATCGACAATTGCTCAAACTTGTACTGCGCCGAGCGCAACAGCTGCGCTGCCTACAGAGGCCCGAGATGCGTCGCCGCGCCGTCTGTGCCCGACGCGCCCCACTGGACGAAGTCGGCACCGCGACAAACCTCACTGCGGACCTTGCGTCCGAGGCGGAGTTTGCCCTGGTACCCGAGGCGCCGTCTCAAAGACGGAAGGCCGCACGTCGGAACAAACGGCGCGGCGACAAATTGGTCTTCTATTGGCGGCGAGCGAGGGGGAAATGAGAAGGAGAAGGCCTTCTCAGAGGGCGGCGGGACTTCGCAGAAGCCCGCGCGCCTCCTGTGTCTTCGGGCGCGGCTTGAGAAACTTCTCTGAAGGCCGGGGGACTTCCGAGCCCTCTGAGAAGGCCCGCGCCTCCTCTCTTCCGCCCCCCCCCCGCTCGCCGCCGATTCTAGAAGCAGGCAGTCTCTCTGCCCCCCAAAGACCTGGGCGGCCGGCCGCGGAGCAGCCGAGCCGACCCGAGCCGCGGGGCCCATTTCGCAGAGGGGCGGCCGCGCCTCGAAGGTGCTGGCCAGCAGCATCAGCACTACGCCGATGACGGTGTTCCGGACGCCGTGGCCGCCGCCGACCTCGGCGGGCGGCGCGCAGAGAGCGAGCGAGCGAGCGCCCATGCAGCCCCACTGGTCGTGCAGCGGAGGCCAGTGCACAGGAGACCTTCCACAGGAAACCCAGCCCCGAGACCCCAGGACGTCCCTTGGTTGTTGGTGTGGGAGCGTCACGCTTTCCATCGCAAGCGCAATCGAAACCCAAGAAACCCAGGGCACCCTGGAGGCAAGCAGGATGTTTCTTGGCATGGGTCTCCACTGTAGGGCCGCGCCCGCTTGGGCGGGACGAGTCGGTCCCCTCACACTTCGCACTCACGTATGGGATCTCCGAACTCTGCCATGTCCCACTCTGCTTCGCACTGTTGAGCCTCGGTTGACGGCGCGCAGAGAGGGGCCGAGGGGAGGGGGGAAGGCTCCTCGGAAGGAGACTGCTTTCTTGGAAGGCGCCAGCCTCACATCCATAGGCGAGGCCCGCCTTCCGAGCAGCAGGGGTGCTTCTAGGAAGCCTCTCCCCCTCCTCCCCCCCCCCCCTCTGCGCGTGGCCGAGGGGCGCCGTCCAGGCTCGCTGGTCCGACGGGCGAGGATACCGATCGCTCAAAGCCGGTGCGCCAGCAGGGCTCTCCCATAGGACGAAGCCAGGACCATGACAAGATCGGGCCAGGATAAAACAGGGATCTCTGACAACGGACGGTCTGGGAGGATGTGTGCGGCGCCGAGGCCGTACCAGAGCGTTCCGGAAAGCTCTGAAAGCGTGCTGGAACGCTCTGGAACGATTTGTCACGATCCTGGCCCCGCCCGTTCCCAGACATCCAACGCCTTGAAGGTGAACGTTGTTTTCTCGGCGTTTCCACTTTGGGCGGAAGGGAGGGGAGGGGGGGGGGGGACTGTTTGTAAGAGTGCGGCCCCTGGAGGAGACACCACCCGCTCGAAACAGGCGCCAGAAAACAGCCAAGATCTACTCCAGGGGGGGGAGGGAGGGGTTTGGGGCCCACGCCGATCGGCAAAACAATGACTAAAAAAGATCACAAGCCAAAATTAAAACACGTCTGTCTCGTTGTTTTCGGTCCCGGGGGGGCAGTTGCCTGGTCACACGATCGTCAACAAAACGACTCAGTGCGAAAAAAGTTAGCTCATGTGTAAAGGGTATGGTCGGCGGCGACGATAAGTGCGAATAGCCCAGGGGCGGGCTTGACACGCATTCGCCAGGGAGCCTTGTCGAAGACATGGACATCGGCACCCCTGGATACATGTATTGCTCCTCCCTGGGCTATTCGCCCCTATCGTCGCCTCCGATCTGGACATCATGGGGGCCCGTTGTTGAGAAGCGGGGAGTCGCCCATGTCCACCGCCTGGGGAACGACGTCCTGGGACCCCAGCGGGCAGTGGATGTGGATACGTTTGGACCCCAGTGGCCCCGAGTGAATAGAAATATATGCCCACCGCCTGCCGAGAAACCCGAGGATCGATCCCCGCCCCGGAGCACTGAACACGTGAAGGCATTGAATGTCTGGGACTCTGGTGTCCGCGATGCATGGCTTGCCTACTGGACTGCGAGCCGCTCCGAAACCTCCAGGGAGATTGCCCCGACCAGCCACGCGGCTAGACTCAGCGCTAACGAAAAGCCGAACGACGGAACACGACCCACCACAAGACCGCACACACGTGCGCTTGTGCTTAGGTGCGGTCGGCCCCTGCGAGCTCGACCCGCTCAGAAGCTCGTAGAGTTGTGTGCTCGGCGCCGTGCGTGACGTGCGCGCGAAGAATTTGTGCGGTTGCCGATGGCCGTTGGCCCGTCTTCGCACAGGCGGGTATCATCCTGCTTTTCCATGGCGACCCAAGTGCCCCCCATTAGCCCCGAGAAGGCGCCCAACGAGCCCCCCCGAAGGACCCCCAAGGGGATTTCTACAAACATACACGACATCAAAGAACAACCCATCAACTGTGCAACGTGACAACCACGCCCCGCTTCAGCACGGCGGTGTTGCTTGCCAGACTGCCCCACGTTGGTCCTGCCGATACTTTGGGGCGAGCTCGACAGAGGCGTCCTGCCTGTATGTCAAAGCTGTGCTGGCACGATGGCGGGATTTGCGGCAGGCAACATATTTTCTGGGGCCCCATCTGGGGCCAAAGGTATTCATATCCACCACCTCCCGACCTGCCGGGACATCGATTCACTAGGCGGTAGATATGTCACAGCGCCCTTTGTTCCGACGCGCGGCTTTGCGCCTGGGGGAGGGCACCCCGGCCACCAGGGCAAACTCCGTCTCGAACGCAGGGCTTCTTCCCGTGGGGTTTGCCGTGGATTGCCACGGTGTCGGCATCGTCCACTGGGGCGCGTCGGGAACAAACAGCGCGGCGGCATCTGTGTACAAGCCGCCCGCCCTCGGATCGGACACCAGGAATGGGCGCGGGGGCTCCTTGGAGGGCCCGGGGGGCTCCCGAGGACCCCCCCACAACCGCCTCGTCAACAGACCGCCCCCCCCCCACTCCGCGCGCCGCAGGCCCGCCCCCCCCCCCTCCTGCCTGCGAGCCCCCCGTGGCCCAGCCTCCGCCCCCGGGCAGGACTGGGGCGCGGCCTGCCGACCACCGCACCCAGTGCGACGGCAGCGGCCTGCCGGCCCGCGCGCCAGGTGGCGCTCCCGTGCTTTTCGCGCGTCGCCGATCCCAGCATCCCCCCCCCCCAGTCCCCTGGGGACACGCGCCGCCGCCGCCCCCCCTTCCAGCGGCGGGGTCGCGGGGCCGCGTGCCCGACCGCACCACCTGCCGCACCGCGTTTTGGTGCCGAGGCGCCCAAAGGATCCGATCCTCAGCTGCCGTGCGCCAGGATTCGGCGAGGGCGTTTCCGCGCGCGCAGGCGCGCCGAGGGGGCCTCCCACACCCAGGTCCTGGCGCCGTCGGCGGCCACCGCTGCGAGGGCCCCTGCGGTTCCTGGCGGCTGGCAGGCCAAATGTGATCTGCTAGCTGCCCCGATATGCATTATGCAGCACGTCGCGTGCTGACACGGGGCTCAACGCGTAGATTGAACACGTAGGTATGGCGCGACAGGCCAATACGTGAACCGACAAACACGTGCCAAGCCAACGCGCAGTGAATTGGCCAAGACGTTTGGAGCACGGTGCATGCAGCGTTTCGAAACGGGCGTATTCTGGCAGTTCGGGTGTTTGGGTGTCTCCCTTCTTCCTCGCGAAGACTTTCTGGAAGGCGGCAAAGAAAAAAGGGATGATGATGAGGAGGAGGAAGAAGAGGAGGAGGAGGAGGAGGAGGACGAGGACGAGGAGGAGGAGGAGCGAGCGACCCCCCCCTGTGCATCGGAATCGACGCGGTAGCTCGAAATCGTCAAACTGTGAAGCAGCAGGGCGCGAACCCGCCACAGAGTCGCCCTCTCCCTCGTGGGTGGGGCGGAAGCCGTTGTCGCCAATGCCCTCCTCGTTCGGGACAACTGGCGCCACAGGCGCCTCCTCCCCGTCAGCACCAGGGAGCTGCGCCACTCCGTCGTGGTCGGGGAAGGCGGCGTTGGCGACCTGCTCGAGGACGGTCTTGTTCTGGGTGCTGTAAATGTCAGTCTCTGATTCGGTATGGGCAGGCGGGGGCTCAGTCCGCATTTCCTCGCCCCATGGAGTGGGGCAAGGCCACCCTGTCCCCCTTCACCGTGGGCGTCGGCGGGATCCATGATGAAGGGCTTGCAGGCATGCAGCGGCTGGGCCCGCCCGTTGCCATAGTCAACCAGAACATCGTCGGTCGCCGATGCCATGCAGGAGGGGGTCGAAAGCGCGCATCCAGAATGACATGGTGGAAGGGCACCTTCTTGTTGAAGCCTGCCTGCAGGAGGAAGCTCTTGCACCTGTGGGTGTCCTCCGTGTCCCGGCGCATTGTGGACTTGACGGGTCGCAGGGAAGGCCCTCGCCTCCGCGGCGCTTCAAAGCGACGCAAGGACAGACGGCCGTCCTCCATCAGCAGCACCAGGAAGCGCATGAGCACAAAGTAGCGCCCCTTCGCCGTCGGGCGGCGCCCTATCATCAGGTGGCAAGTGCCCCTCTCGTGGAAGCCGTGGCCCACGTCCAGTTGCCGCAGGGCTGCCTGAGTCCGCCTCGGAGTTCCCGCCGTGACCGGACGAGCGCGCGCCAGATGGCGGCGGCAGGCGCGGGCGCATGCGCGGAGAGCTTCGGCGTCAGCTCGCAAGGCCCCACCCCGCGGGAGAGGATGGAGGCGCAGGACACGCGTTCTCTTGACCACTCGACGAGCACGTGCCAGATGTCGGCGATGGGGGCGTCGCCGGCGCGGCGCACGCGCGGAGAGCTTTGGCATCAGCTTGCAAGGCCCCCCCCCTCCTCGGAAAAGGATGGAGGCGCAGGAGACGCGTTCTCTTGACCGGGCGCAGGACGGTCTCTTGCGACTGCCCCATTGAGGAGAAGAGGTGCTTTCTCCAGTAGAGGCACTCCATGGGCTGGCGCTGCGAGCGCACCCCCAGCATCCTACGGCTCATCGCCGCCAGAAAGATGTTCAAATTGTGGCGGAAAGGTTCCGCCTTGCTGCGCTTGACGCGCCATCGCAACTGCCGTGCTATCGGGGTTCACGGCGGAACAGTTCCCGCGGTAACTGAAACCGGAGGGGCCAGATGGCGGTGATGGAAACGTTGCCGGCGCGGCGCATGCTCGGGGCGCTTAGACGGCAGCCGGCAGCGCCCCTTCGGCGTCGGGGGCCAGACCCCCATTGCCGCGGCCGTCAATCTACGCGCGTGATCGCGCTCGGCCGCCGTCGCCTCAGTCGTCGTCGCGAGACCGCGCCGCTGACAGGAGCACCCCCGCACTGCGCCCAAAATGCGCGCCGCGAAACCGTAGTCAGCGAGCGCGGTCTCAATCGCCAGTCGGAGGAATGCCGCGCGGGCGGCACGCCCGCGCCACCGATCGGCGCGGCCCCCGGCTGTCCATCTTGACGGCGATGCTGCAGTGGGCGCGCGGGCTCGCATGGCGCGCTGTCCGTATGGGGCCAGGACGAGGCCGCATGGGGATGTGGCTGGATGGAAA